AGGTAGGGGGGGTAGGGGAGGAGAGAGAGAGAGAGAGAGAGAGAGAGAAAAATCTGATTTTTTACACAGGGTTGGCCTGTCCCTGAGGAATGGAGAGCTAAATGCCACAACATGTCCCCTCTTGAAAGTGATTACTTCAGTGTTGTTACTGATATGAAGCTGGATTCTCAATTGTAATATGATGAATTTTTAAAGTGACTGATATTTTGAAACATATAGGCCTTTTATTCTTTTTTCCCTGACTTATATAGTTCTTCCCCATATATACAGCAAATAAGAAAATGGCATTTCATAATTTAGTTGCAAAACAAGTTTTTTTTATTGTACCTTTAACATCTGGGACTCTGCTCTCCTCTGAAACATATCTGCATTGCTGTAAATAATATAAAACGTTTAGCTGTGATATTGGTCAGTAATCATGGAAGTATAGCTGATAAAATTCTGCTGTTCCTGACACAGCAAGATGATTTGCCAGTTAGTGGATTTCTCCACATATATTTCCTCCATCATTATACACACTTGGCATCTTCATACCATAAAATAGTTAACAATTAAAAGCCACTAATCTAGGCTTTAATCTATTCCATAATTGTTATTATCTCCTAGAAATCTCTTCTTGACATGCCATTAATATGGCTGACACATCTCCATTCAGCACAACAAGTTACAGAAACAATGAGAGCAATATTACATGGGGCAAAGTGAATGAAAAGCCCAGAATAAAATATGGGTCTTAACACTGAATCGTACTGATTCAAAAAGGTGTCCAAGGATTTAGCCATGCAACTCCCATGGCTTTGCACAGCATTAAGTGATACAGGAAAAGAAGGAATTATATTTGTGTATGATCTTTACTTACACCTAAGTCTCGAGGGGAGTCAGAGGACTTTGGCTGGGTGATGATAGAGGATTTAGTGTTTCTAGAAATGGGAGCTGAATCTCCTAAATACCGTTGATCTGTGACAAAGGGAAAAAATAGAGTATATAAGAGCTGCCATCCTGGAACAAACCATGGTCCGACTTGTCCAGCATCCTGTGTCTGACAGTGGCCCATACCAGAGCTTCAGGGAGAGTGTACAAAACAGGACATTTATAGAGTGATCCACCTGTCTTCCACAACTGGCTTCTGGTAGTCAGAGGTTTAAGGTTGCCCTGAGGTTGGGGATGTGGCCCTGACCACCTTGGCTAATAGCCATTGCTAGACCTATTCTCCATGAATTTATCAAGTTCCTTTATGAACTTTTGGCCATCACAACATCCCATGGCAATGAGTTCCATATGTTAGTTGTGCATTGTGTGAAAAAGTACTTTCTCATTTGTATTAAATCAACTGCCTATTAATTACATCAGGTGACCTCTGTTTTTTGTATTGTGTGAAAGGGTAATAACATTTCTCTATTAATCTTTTCCACACTATTCATGATTTTACAGACCTCTATCATATTCCCTCTGAGGCATCTCTTTTCTGAGCTGAAAAGCCCTAACCTTTTTAGTCTTTCCTTGCATGGAAGCCATTCCATACCCTTGATCATCTTTGTTGCCCTTCTCTTAACGTTTTCCAGTATTGCTATATACTTTTTGAGATGGGGTTACCAGAAATGGACATAGTGTTCAAGGTGTGGCATTATGACATTGTATTATTTTTTATCCCTTTTCCATATCACATACAGCTACAGTGGTACAGTAGCCAGCAAACAGAGCTGTAAACAGGGGAGTTCGAGTGGGAGTTCTGTTGGAGGAGAAGGCATTTGTAGAGGCTGGTAGGAGCAGTGTGCTGGGAGAGAAGCTGAGCCCTGATTGGTGGGCGGAGCTTCTTTGATTAGGTGTCAGCAAACAAAGCTGTAAACAGGGGAGTTTAAGTGGGAGTTTGTAAGGGGAGTTCTGGGGGAAGACTAGGAGAACCAGGCAGAGGAACAGACAGGCTAGTGAAGGGAGTGTGTGGTGTTCTGGCAGTGTTGTGGTGCTCGTTGGGGGTTTGTTTTGCTGTGGGTGGTGGTGTTTTGGTTTGGTTTGTGTTTCCTGGACTAACAGGACTTAGGTGGAAAGGCTATGACAGATACAGAGGCAGCAGTGGTAGTGACCCAAGCAGTGGAAGACAGAATGAAGATGACTGGATATGGAAGCTGCAGTATGTACCTGATCCTGGATGGGGTCCTGAAAAGAGTTTCAGCTGCATGAAGTGCCACCTGATAGAGCTAAAGGAAGAAAAGATCCAAGGATGGAATCTTCTACAGGTGGAAACTCTGGTTGAGTTTAGAAGGGGGTTCGAGCACATGATGCAGCAAAGACATGAGGAGGCTGAAGGGAAACGCTCAGACTTGCAGATGGAAGCAGGACCAAAGAACTCTGAGGGGAGACTGCTGGGTAAGGAAAGTGGACAGTGGAAGCATGTGACTAAAGGTATGTCTACTTTACCTGCCGGATTGGCGGGCAGCGATCAATCCAGCGGGGGTCAATTTATCACGTCTACTCTAGGCCGCTATTGACTGGATCACCCTTATCCATTCACTAGTTGACTCCCTCAAATAATCCTAATAATAGAATTATAGAATCATAGGACTGGAAGGGACCTTAAGAGGTCTTCTAGTCCAGACCCTGCACTCAAGGCAGGATTAAGTATTATCTAGACCATCCCTGACAGATGTTTGTCTAACTTGCTCTTAAAAATCTTCAATGATGGAGATTTCACAACCCCCCTAGGCATTTTATTCCAGTGCTTAACCACCCTGACAGTTAGGAAGTTTATTCTAATGTCCAACCTAAACTGCTCTTGCTGCAATTTAATCTCACTGCTTCTTGTCCTATCCTCCGAGGTTAAGGAGAACAATTTTTCTTCCTCCTCCTTGTAACAACCTTTTATGTACGTGAAAACTTTTATCATGTCCCCTCTTGGTCTTTTCTTCTCCAGACTAAACAAACCCAATTTTTTCAGTCTTCCTTCATAGGTTATGTTTTCTAGACCTTTAATCATTTTTGTTGCTCTTCTCTGGACTTTCTCCAATTTGTCTACATCTTCCTGAAATGTGGACTGGACACAGTACTCCAGTTGAGGCGTAATCAACGTGGAGTAGAGCGGAAGAATTACTTCTTGTGTCTTGCTTACAACACTCCTGCTAATACACCCCAGAATGATATTCACTTTTTTGGTAACAGTGTTAGACTGTTAACTCATATTTAACTTGTTATCCATTATGACCCCCAGATCCCTTTTCACAGTACTTCTTCCTAGGCAGTCGTTTCCCATTTTGTATGTGTGCAACTGATTGTTCCTTCCTAAGTGGAGCACTTTGCATTTGTCCTTATTGAATTTCATCCCATTTATGTCTGATCATTTCTCCAGTTTATCCAGATCATTTTGAATTTTAATCCTATCCTCCAAACCACTTGCAGCCCCTCCCAACTTGGTATCATCCGCAAACTTTATAAGTGTACTCTCTATGCCATTATCTATAGCATTGATGAAGACGTTGAATAGAATAGGACCCAGAACTGATCCCTGCGGGACCCCACTCACTATGTCCTTCCAGCATGACTGTGAATCAGTGATAACTACTCTCTAGGAACGGTTTTCCAACCAGTTATGCACCCACCTTACAGTAGCTCCAGCTAGGTTGTATTTCCTTAGTTTGTTTATGAGAAGGTCATGCAAGAGCTTATCAAAAGATTTATTAAAGTCAAGATATACCACATCTACATCTTCCCCCTATTCACAAGACTTGTTACCCTGTCAAAGAAAGCTATCAGGTTGGTTTAACATATTTTGTTCTTGAAAAATCCATGCTGACTGTTATTTATCACCTTATTATCGTCTAGATGTTTGCAAATTGATTGCTTAATTATTTGCTCCATTATCTTTCCAGGTACAGAAGTTAAGCTGACTGGTCTGTAATTCCCTGGGTTGTTCTTATTCCCATTTTTTATAGATTGGCACTATATTTGCTCTTTCCCAGTTTTCTGGAATCTTACCTGTCTTCCATGACTTTTAGAAGATAATCGCTAATGATTCAGATATCTCCTTACTCAGCTCTTTGAGTATTCTTGGATGTATTTCATCAGGCACTGCTGACTTGAAAACATGTAAGTTGTTTATGTAATTTTTAACTTGTTCTTTCCCTATCTTAGCCTCTAATCCTACCTCATTTTCACTGGCATTCATTAAGTTAGATGTCCAATTGCTACTAAACTTTTTGGTGAAAATTGAAACAAAAAAGTCAATTAGCACTTCTGCCATTTCCACATTTTGTGTTATTGTTAATAGAATGGTGAAGCATGATTTCCCTTTACAAAAGCCAGGTTGGTTCTTACCTAACAAATCACATATATCTATGGGTGTGACAATTCTATTCTTTATTATAGTTTCTACCAATTTTGCTGGTACCGAAGTTAGATTCACTGGCTTGCCAGGATTGCCTCTGGAGCCCTTTTTAAAAATCAACATTAGGGGGGATTTGATTGCAGCCTTCAACTACCTGAAGGGGAGTTCCAAAGAGGATGGAGCTAGGCTGTTCTCAGTGGTGGCAGATGACAGAACAAGGTGCAACGGTCTCAAGTTGCAGTGGGGGAGGTCTAGGTTGGATATTAGGAAAAACTATTTCACTGGGAGGGTGGTGAAGCACTGGAATGGGTTACCTAGGGAGGTGGTGGAATCTCCAGACTTAGAGGTTTTTAAGGCCCAGCTTGACAAAGCCCTGGCTGGGATGATTTAGTTGGGGTTGGTCCTGCTTTGAGCAGGGAGTTGGAGTAGATGATCTCTTGAGATCTCTTCCAACTCTAATCTTCTATGATGCTATGAACATTACATAAGTAATTTAATGTTAGTGTGCTTTGATAAGTGGGATATGTTCAGGTCAATCTTAGTCAAGTCACATATTCATTTATATAGCACTACTACCTTTATCATTCCAAAACATCACTGGTAGTGTACCATGCACAGCTGTGGAATAATATTTGTTAACCACTTCATGATGGCTGAGTGCCCCAAGTATATTTGGCAGTACCTTTAAACCTGCCAAATGTCTAAGCTATGTCTAAGGCATTTCACTGAATTCAGTGGAACAGTCATTTGAAACATCAGCAAAGGACATGAGAGGATCTAACAATGGAGACGTTAGTGGCTGGCTCAGAAACAACAAAGGATGTGCAAACCTGTCAGTTTTCCCTGCTCATCTTACTCATGCAATTAGTCCCAATCATACTCACGTGATTTCGGCACATGGAGGTGGCCCCTCCAGGCATGGATCTGACCCATCCTATATTGAAGAAGGGTGTCAGCTACCTCTGCAGCTCTACACCCCACTTTCTAGGACTCTACAGAGGAATCTCCACTGGGGATCTATGCAGGGTGAGAGGGGCAGTACTAAGCAGGGAATGGACAATCCAAGTTGGGTGTGATCAGGGTTGTGGGGGATGCACATAATTCCCCTGTGGCTCTCCAAAAATTATCTGGGAAAGGTGATAAATCACCAGACTATATCGTTCCTGTTACGCAACCTCCACATTAGGGAAGTCCTCCTGAAAGTGGAGGTTCCCTGGGCTACATAACAGTGGCCAGCAGAGTCCCTGCAAGCCCAACTCCACTGCCAGGGAGTGATCGTGGTGCCTCTCTGGCCCAGAGCTGGTATTGGTTGAAAAAAGCCTCCAAGATAGCCCAGGCCCCCTGCAAATCCTGAGAGATCTATGGAGTTTATAGGCCAACTCTTTCAGGAAAAGAGGGCAAGCTCCATCTCTGCCATTTGGGAGGAATTCTACCAGGATGTTTTTGTCAAGTCCCACTCTGTTACCCCTCCAGCAGGGGCGGCTCTAGCTTTTTTGCCAACCCAAGCACGGCAGGCAGGCTGCCTTTGGCGGCATGCCTGCGGGAGGTTCCTGGTCTC